AAGGGCAGCCTGCCCTCTCCCGCTTTCACCCTGCCAGAGGCGCTTTGGCCAGTCTCCAGCGGGGCAGGGGCTCTTGGGCAGGATGGGTCAGACTGGGACTGGAGTCTGCTTTGGTGTTTTGGGGACATCCTGCCCGTGGCAGAGCTCCCAAGGGCCAGGCAGCCTCTCTGGGTTGCCCCTGATGTGTGTGAACATTTGGCAGCTACCTGGGGTGGATCTTTGGGATCCCACCAGCAGATGCAGTGTACCCCGCCTCAGCCTGGCCAGGCAGTGTGGGCAAGGGCAGGAAAGCCCAGCAAGGGGCTGGCCAAACACACTCCTCCATGGAGGAATGGCTCCTGCTGCTGGGGAGTCCTAACCCAGGGCCAAAGGCACCCGGAAATGGGCTTTTCCCACTTTTCTGGTAATTAATACAAGCTGGGCTGCAGCACGGCCCCCCAGCACGGCTCCCCAGCACCAGTTCCTGGTCCTGTTGCTGTGCCCAGGCTAACGGTGCCACTCACCTGCCCTGGAAAAGCTGCTTTCCTCCACTGCAATGGCAACACAGAGAGATGAGTGCGCAGCCACGACACCCTCCCCTCTTCCCAGCACCAGCACCACCGGCCACACGTCCCCCGCTGCTCCCAGTGCCGCAGGGCGCAGACGCTGGGTGACGCACAGCTGCGGGGCTCCTGTGGTTCTGCTCCACCACCACTCCACCAGCCCCATCCTGCCCCAAGGCGCTCACCCAGCCATGGAGACATGCACAGCCCACCCAAGCTCCGCTGAGCCCCGTGGGAGCTTGCAGACCCCGGCACCAGCCCCCACTATCCCACTCCACTGAAATGACCCTCCACACATGGCCGGTGCTGCCAGCAGTACAGAGCCCTGCCCTGCAGCACCCTGCCTGGACCCCCAGCTCACCCCACATCAGCCCAGGCACGTCAGGGAGCGGAGGGGAGCCCTACCTCGGGGGATCTTGCAGATGACCCCCATGGTGACGTTGGTGCAGGAGCCCAGGCGCCACACACCGTTGCTGCTCTGGATCCAGTAGCAGCTGTTCTGGCTGAGCATGCTGGGCCCCGTGTCGTGCTGGCCCCAGTTGGAGTAGTTCACAGCGGTGTTGTCATGCCAAACAAGGGTGCCACCTGGGAAACAGAAGAATTGGGTCTGAGGAGGCTGAAGGGGACACTCCATCTTTGCCCCGGTTCAGAAAGCACAGGACGGTGTGATGGGGAGATGAGGAGGTGATGGGGCGATGGGGAGGTGTGATGGGGTGATGGGGAGGACCGGGGGCTGCAGGGCACCTTCCTGAACCCACAGACTCCAGCACCTTGGAGGAGGCTCTGGGCTTAAAAACCACTGCTCCCATCCCACCAAGCTAGAGGACAGCCATGGCACATCCAGCATGGCCTGAGGCAAAGGGGCTCCTGGTGACACCTTGGCACGAGCCCCCCACTTGTGCCACCACCAAGGACTTCCTCTGCTCACTGCAAACCTGCTGGGAAGCCATGGGGTCACCTAAGGGGGTAAAACTTTGTTCCTTCCTTTGTACCTTTGGGGTTGAAGCTCATGCCCAGCCAGGCTCCCTTGGATGGGCCCTCGTACGCCTGGAGGTGCTCCCACACAAAGACGTTTTCCATCTCATCCTGGATGGACAACACCGCA